ATAGTGAAAACATATGTGCAGTAAAAAGGCTCCATAATGTTTTCAAGACCAGTACACTTGGAAGCAGGCTAGTCAAGCCTGTCTAAGGAGCACTCTCTTCAAGACATATCTGTTTGTTCTTTTGGCTGTCCATTCAGTACTTTTCTCCAACACTACAACTCAAAAGCATCAATTAGTCTTCTGTCATCTTTATTCATTGTTCAGCTACCATATGCATAGCCAATTATTGAAAAGACTGGGTCTTGAATCAGGCACACCTTAGTCTTTAAGCTGATATTATTGCTCCTTAGGACTTTGGGTACGTCCCTGACGGCAGACTTTCCCAATGTGATATATCTCCTGATTTCCCGACTGGTAGTTCCAACTGTGTGTAAGTAGTTTCAAGTAAGATGAAATCATTATAACTTCCATCTTTTCTTCATCTATTATGATGTTGCTTATTGGCCCAGTGGTGAGTATTTTTGCCTTCTTGAGCCTGAAATGTAACCCATACTAAAGGCTATAGTCCTTGATACTCTGTAGGAAGCTCTTCAGGTTCTCCTCACACTCAGGAATCATAATTGTGTCCTCTGCACAACATAGGTTGTTGATGGATGAGTCTTCCCATAAAGTCGAGCTTTGCAAATAATTTCCTCGGCATACAAATTGATACAGCTCAGGTGCAACCATTGTTTGATTTTAAGCTATACAGTGTTCGCTTGGTCTATTTGGAGGACTTGGTCTAGGTATATTTTTCGTGTGAGGGCAGCTAAGAGTTCTGAGATTTTCATTCTTGTCAATGTTGCTTGAGATCCACACAGTCTTTGCACAGACAGTAGAGAATAAATAGAGAAGAGTGTATGAATTATTAGTTCTTTAAGAAACATTGCCCACCCACCCCCCTTTGTGTTGGCAGCATGCAAAAATGTTTGGCTCCATCCTTGACTTTCCAGGGGTGTCCTCCCCTTTCTTCTTTCTTTTTCTCTTTAACTCTTCCTCACAGCATCTTTTCACCAACCATGACTTCTTTTCTTACCTTAATAAAACTTTTCATTTGTTTTTCTAAATCATTTTTAAAAATAGATACTGCACCATCCTTGAGGAGGAGGTCTTGCCTGTTACTGGGCCCTGAGGATGAGGTCCCTCCTATTCCTGAGCTGGAGTACCAACATCAGAAGGGAGTGGAGAGGAATGGGTGGACAGATGTGAGCTGAAACCTGAGCCATCAAACCAGAATTGGCTCGGGCCAGGGCATGGGAGGTGCTGGAGGGGCAAGGAGAGGGAACTGACCTGAATGCTGGTAGGGTTAGGGTTAAGGCTCACTGAAGGGGCAGCAGGACCAACACAATCTTATTTCTTACCTACATAAAGAGAAAGGGCTCTCATCTGCTCTCTTGGGTAAAAATGCTTGTTTGGCAAATATTGTTGTAAATTCAAATATCCAAATTAAGATAAACTAAGGGGAAATATTTGGGTATGCTGCAAGGAGGGACCATTCTTTGGAAAGGAATATCATGCTTGATGGTGGAGGGTCATTGCAAGGGATGAAGACCTTGAATGAGATGATTAACTCAGTGACTGGAGTAATGGGAACGGGACTCTCAGAAACAATGAAATTGGCTCAAGATAGAGCAAGGTTCACAGCTGTTGTACATACAATTGCTATGAGTCAGAGTTGACTCAATTACACATAACAACAACAAAAATGGAGAAAAATTGTGAAACCATTTTTGTAATAACAGGCTTTTGAAAACTCTATGTACAGTAGAGCACACATAGATTAAGCTAGTAGGTATGGCACCAAAAGCAGAGCCTACACACTGGGAATCACAAAGAAGGATAAACAGTACCAAAGAGACACTACTGACTAGAAAATGAAATATGAAAAGTAAGAATGTAGTAAAATTGGAGATTATTAAGGAAGAAGTGGAATGCATAAAACTAGACACACGAGGCATTGGCTAAATGAATTGATCTGACATGGAACATTTTGAGACAATCATATTATCTACTACACTGGAAATAAAAAGATGAAGAGATATGGGGTCGCTTTCATAATTAAAAAGACCATTTCTAGATCCATCTTGAAATACAATGTTGTGAGAAACAGAATAATATCCATACACATACAAGGAAGACTTGTTAATACTACTGTTATTAAAACAGAAGTACCACAGCCATCACCAAAGAAGAGGAAATAGATGACTTCTATATGGTTGCAATCAGAAATTGACTGGACATGCAATCAAGGATGCAAATATTGGGAACTTGGGGGGAAAGATCAATAGTCAGGAAGCATGGACTTGGTAACAGCAATGAGGCTGGATAGAATTTTTACAATCGATACATTCATTGCAAAAACCTTTTATAAGAAACACAAATTATGACCATATACATGGTCTTCCCATGATGGTCTACACAGGAATCAGATTGACTACATATGTGGGGAAAAAAATCTATGGAGAAGCTCAATATCAGCTGTGAAGACTAGGCCAAATGCTGACTGTGGAACAGACCATCAACTACTCATATGCAAGTTCAAACTGTAATGAAAGAAAATAAAACTAAATCCACAAGATGCAAAATCTGATTTTGAATATATTCAACCTCAATTTATATCCCATCGCAGGAACATGGATTTGAGGCCTTGAACACTCTCATATGTACTGTGGGAGGATGTCAAGAATATCATCCATGAAAATACAAAAGAGAAAATACAAAGAAAGAGGAGGAAGAAAAGACCAAGATGGATGTCAGATGAGACTCTGAATATTGCACTAAAGTTCTGAGAAGCCAAAGCAAAGGATATTTCAAGACACTAAGAAGCAAAATAGATCATTTCTAAGGACAACTCAGGAAGACAAAGCAAAGTATTATAATGAAATGTGCAATGAGCTTAAGTCAGAAAGTCAAAAGGAACAAACTTGCTGGGTATTTCTTAAACTGAAGAACTCCAAAACTAGTTTAAGCCTCGAGTCTTAAAATTCAGTGGTACCAGCAGAATCCAGGAAGCCCTCCCCAGGATCTTCTGAAATTTTGTTGTTGTTACATGATGTCAAGTTGACTCTGACTCATAGAAACCCTGTAAAAATAGCTCTGAGCCTTGCCCTATCCTGAGCCAACAACACTCTCTTTGACCATTGGTACAGTCACTGTCTCAAACCATCTCGTCAAAGGTCTTAATTTCCTGGGCGAATTGTCTACCACTTCTAACATGATGTCCTTCTCCAAAGACTGGTCCCTCCTGGCAACATGCCCAAAGTATGGGAGACAGAGTTTCAAACTCCTTGCCTCCAAAGAACAACATGATAGCAGACTTTCTCAAAAAAGTCTTGATTTCTCAAAAAAATTTTGATTTCCTGACTGCTGAAGACACGTTAACAACCTCAATCTTTCTCTGTCTATCTATACTACTATCCAAGTACAAATTTGAGATCTGGGGTTTCAAAATACTTTCCTGGATCCAACAATGCTTCTGGCAATGCAGGGCTTGTGCTCATCCCTGGGATGACTCTGACACAAACGCTGATTACTATTGTATTAATGGATACAGTGGTGTTCACAACACAAAGGCCAATGAGTAAGCAGGACAAAAATCCAGCTTTAAACGATTTAGATCCTCCCAGAAGAGCCATGGATGAGCATTAACATTACTGGTAAGTATATTCATTTTCTCCTGGACACAGAGCCTACTAATTGGTCCTAAAAGCCTTCTGAGGTCCCAACTCTTGTCACTATCTCTTAGTTGTTGGAATGAACGGAAAACCTCATAAGCAGTTCCTTACTTCACCTCTACCTTGCATGTGAACTTCCGAGTTGTAAAACAGCCCAGTGGTAGATGGAATTTGCTCCAGGACTTAAGAAGCAAAAACGACATAGCTGAGCCTCTACATCTTGTGGTTCCTAACCTGTACACTATAACAGACAAAGTGCTAGTCTTTTGCTAGGCCTTTTATTGTAAGAACCACCTTCCCTCTGTAACTTGATTTGTGCCACTACTAGAACCTCTACTTGGAATATTATTGCTTGTTAATTTTTGACTCATGTACTTTTAACTTGTTAGTTAAATTTGTGTTTTCTAGGTTGCAACACCTCCATGATACATCTTCAAGGATATGAACATGTACGGCTAAGCACAATTAATAACAGTGCATCTAAACTCCAAAATCAATCTCCATAATAGTCTATGTGTTTCCTACTGCCAAAGGGGCCCTTTAGAGTAGTGAGAGAAGATCTTCACCCTGAAACCCACAGCATCCCTTTTAAGCAGGAAGTAGCAAAGAGAATACGCCATCCCCTTTTCCTTATGAATCAGGGTGAAGTCTCTCTCAGGGAGGAGTGATAGGGAATGGCAAAGGACACACTGACAAAGGAGATTAATCAGAACTGGATTTGACAAGCACTGTGGCAATTCGACAATTAAAACAGACATTCGGGGGCGGGGGGAAGAAGAACGAACTGGGGAGGAGGGTAGAGAAAACAGTGTAACAATGAATGGATGAGAACCCAAAATCTCTATAAATGTTCATTAAAACGAATAAAATTTAATAATAATTAAAAAAAGAGAGATGTTGTTGTAGAATCTTTGCTATCATTAAAATAAATTTCATTTACTCTGACCATACGTGGAGACAGATTTCCTGTCTGAAGGATATCAGAAACTGCATTTCACCTACTGAGCAACTTCAAACTAAACATGCCGGAATGAGTGAAGAGGAAGAAGGAAGGCTTTCAGTAGACCTTCCAGCTGTGTCGTTCTTGCTATAGTCATTAGAAAGAGATGTGACACCGGGAGAACGGGCTCAGTTATTTAAAAACACCATTAAACACATTTGCTCATGGTCACTAATGGGAAACAACACACTGTGACAGGACCACACTGTCTACCTCAGTCAGATGGGACTGAATTTGCTTGGAAACTCCCTCCCCATGCAGGTGGGAAGGCTTATAATGGAGAGAGCTGGGGACGTGGACCAAGGCTTGTAATCCTGTAAAGTATAGCCCTGAAGTGTTCCTGAACCATGTCCTGGATTTCACTCCTGATAAATCTGATTTGCTGCACAGGTCAGATGGAGGGTCTTGTGGGCTTGATGTGGATCTCTCACCTCTTTCCAGGAGTCACTTCTCAGGCTTTGGTGACAAAGTAACCTTCACTGTCCACATCTCTAGCAGGGACAATCACACTGACCTGTGGCTCCAGTACTGGGGCCCTCACCACCAGTAACTATGCTAGCTGGATCCAACAGAAGCCTAGCAGGTCCTAAGGGGTCTAATAAGTGATACCAGCAATCGGGTCCCAGGAGTCCCTTCCCGGTTCTCTGGCTCCCTTCTTGGAAGCAAGGCAGCTCTCTCCATCACTGCAGTGCAGGTTGAGGATGAGGCTAAGTATTACCGTGCTTTGTGGTTCAGCAACCATTTCCACAGTGAATGATGCAGGGGAAGAAGTGAGACAGAAATGTACTTGGTAGCCTCTGCCCCCACTCGTTCAAATCTCGCAGAGGCTGGTGTTGTGTCACTGCTAATGTTTGAGTGCTATCACACTGGAACTGACTCATAGCTGAGCCTCCAGTGGGTTTTCAGAGGTAGCAAATAGCACAGAAGAAGCAGCTGTTGAATTTGAACCACGTACCCCAGAGCCCCTGTTTCCTAAAGATCCTGAATAGTAGCTAGACACATTCATTTGAAGTTTGAAGATATTTTGTCTTTATCCCACCATTATCTGGTTGTTTTTTAGGCACTGTTAAGTTGGCTATGACTCATAGAGACCCTGTAAATGATGGATATGAACCCTGCTCTGTCCTATACCGCCCTCATCATCTGCCACCCTTGGGCCTGTTGCTGCAGTTACCATATCAATCCATCTTGTTGAGGCTCTTCCTGTCTCATGCTGACCCTCCACTTTTCCCAGCATGAAGTCCTTTTCCAAGGACTGAATCCTCCTTAGAACATGGACAAAATATAATGTAAAATAAACTGTGGTTAACTCTGAGAAGAATGGGAATCCCAGAACACTTACTTAATTGTGCTTTATGCAAAACCTATACGTGGACCAGGAGGCAGTCACCAAAACAAAGTAAGGAAACACTGCAGGGTTCAAAAACCAGGAAAGGTGTACGCAAGGGATGCCTCCTATCTCCACAATGAGGTGGAACACAAGTGAAGGGCCGAATCACTTTGGGGAGAAACTTCTTATGACATCATGCTTGTCTCAACCACATGTGAGAGGCTTTTCTCAGGATTTATGTGCTGTACGTGGAGAACATGACAGTTCATAGAATGATTTCTTTCCTTCAGTGATGAGGATTTGGGGTTTTTTCAATAACATTTTTATTTTATACTGCTTAACTTACAATGTTCATATATATTGTTTTTACAACAGATCTTTCCTATCTCCTTTTCTCACCTCTTTCTCCATGCAAATCCTGTAATCTCATGATTAACACAATAGACACACCTCGCCCCCCCCTCCCCGCCCCAGCCCATCCTCACACCTCTGCTCTTACCTTCCACCCTTGGATCCTTATACAAGTTCTACAATAATGGTCTTACACAGTATCTGCTCTTATGGGACTGAGTTCCTTCACTTACCCTAATGCTCTCCAGTCCTTCCTGTCTGTGAGGTAGTAATTACCAAAGTCATTGCTCCTACATAATTCGTAGTAGTGAATATACCATAATTTCTCAATCCATTCTATTGTGGTTGGACATTTGGGCTGTCCCCATGTTCTTGCGATGGTGAACGCTGCTGTGAACATTGTTGTATAAATCTCAATTTGTACCTCAGTTCCCGTTCTCTCGGATGATATGCCAAGCAGTGGAATATTTATGTAATATGGAATGTCTATGTTTAGCTTTTTGAGGAAACACCAAAGTTCCTTCTAGAGTGGTTGTACCATTTTATAGTCACACAAACAATGTATAAGAGTTCCTATCTTGGCACATTCTCTCCAACATTTACTACTTGCTAACCTATTAACCTTTGCCTCTGCTGCTGATGTGAGATGGTATCTCATTGTGGTTTTGATTTGCATTTCTCTTATTTCCAGTGATTTTGAACATTTCTTCATGTGTCTGTTGGCCATGTGAATGTTTTCCTCTGTGAAAAGTCTTTTCAAGTCTTTTGTCTATTGTGTAGTTGTGTTGTCACTTTTTCTTATAGAAGTCCTATTGTTGTTGTCGTCGTTGTGTGTCGTTGAATCGCTTGTGACTCACAACCACCCTATGTAAAATAGCCCTGACATCTGTTCTATCCTGTGCCAACTTTACTGTCTCTGACAAACCTACCCTCATTATCCCAATCACTAAATCAATGAATCTCATCGATGGTCTTTCTCTCTTTCTCTGTCCCTCCACCATTACAAGCATGGTATCCCTCTCCAAGGACTGGTCCCTCCTTGTCAAATTCCCAAAGCATGTTAGATGAAGCCTCAGAATCCTTGCCTCGAAGGAGCTTGCAGGTGTCACCTTTTCCAGGATGAACCTGTTTTTTCTCCTAGCAGTCCATAATATATTCAATTTTCTTCTCCAGCACCATAGCTTAAAGGCATCACTTTTCTTTCTATCACCCATAGTCTTGTCCAGCTCTCTGACACACAGCAAGAAACTGCAAAGTTTGGATCAGGTGTTTCTTAGTCTCCAGGCTGATGCCATTGCTTTTCAGTACTATAGAGAGGTCTCTGACAGCCAACTTTCTCAATGCAATTCCTCTTTTGAATTTCTGGTTGCTGGTACCAAGAGTGATGATTATGGAGATAAGCAAACTAAAGCTGTTAACAATCTTAATCTCTTCACCATCGATCATAATGCTGCCAATCAGCCCAGTGGTGAGAATCTTTATTTTCTTGATGTTGAGCTTCAATCCATATTGAAGGCTGAAGTCCTTGGCCTTCTGCAGCAAGCACTTCAGGTCCTGCTCAGTTCCAGCAAGCAGAGTTGTGTCATCTGCATAATGCAGGTTGTTGATGAGACTTCCTCCAATCCTGATGCACATTCTTTCTCATACAGCCCAGCCTCCCAAATGATCTGTTCAGCATATAGATTGAAAAGGTTTGGAGCCCTGGTGTACACCCTTCCTGATTTTGAACCATGTAGTGTGTTCCTGCTCGGTTCTGAAGACTGCCTCCGGGTCTAAGTATAGCTTTCACATAAGCACAATTAAATGTTCTGGGATTCACACTCTTCTCAGAGTCAGTCACAGTTTGTTGTGATCCACACAGTTAAACACCTTTGCATTGTCAGTGAAACACAGACATTCCTCTGGTACTCTCTGCTTTTATCCAAGATCCATTTAACATTAGCAGTAATAAATATGCTTCGCACCTTGACCTCTTCTAGACTATATATCTGACAGTTCTCTGTTGTACTGCTTCAGTCATTTTTGGATAATTTTTCACAGAATCTAGCTTGCATGTGATATTCATGATATTGTTTGATAATATCCTCACTCTGTCGGGTAACCTTTCTTTGGAATAGGAACAGTCAGTTGGTCAGGTGGTTATCCTCCAGACTTTTTGGCACAACTTAGTGAGCGCATCCACGGCAACATCTGTTTGTTTAAATATGCTAATTGGCATCCATCAATTCCTGGAGCCAACTTTTTCCAATTCTTTCAGAGCAGCTTGAACTTCTTCATCACCACAGGCTATTGTCCGTATGAAGATACATAAAATTCTTCTGTGTCAGCCAATTCCTTTTGGTACAGTTATCTGTATAATCCTTCCACCTTCTTTTAATGATTCTTGGATCATTTAATATTCTGCCCAAAGCACAAATAAATATTGCAACTCATGGCTTGAATTTATTTTTCAATTTCTTTAGTTTAAGAAATGCTGAATGTGTTCAGCCCTTTAGATTTTCTGACTCCAATTCTTTGCACATTTCAATATAATACTATGCTTTTTTCTTTCCAAGCTTCCCTTTGAAATCTTCTATTCAGCTCCTTAATTTCTTGATTTCTTTCCTTTGCTTTGACATCTAAAAGATTATTTCCAAATGTTTTTCCCCGTCAGCAGGTTTTCTTTTCACTCTGTTGGAAACAGTTTGTGATGCACACAGGGATTTATCTTTAGAAGGTCACATTCATCAATTTTACTCTCTCCAGATTGTGCATTTCTGGCTGAATTTGACACTCTTTTAATATCAGAGACTAGTCCTTCAAAGCTTGATCCTACCTTGTCTCTTACGAACTTTATGGTTTTGGCTTTGTGGTTGGGGCTTTACTCTGACGTCTCGGATCCACCTTGAGTTGACGTTTATGTATGGTGTGAAATGTGGATTTTCTTTCAGCTTTCTGAGTTATGCCAGAACCATTTGTTGAAGAAGTTGTCATTTCTGCATTTGATAGGTTTTATTTCCTTGCCGAATAACAGTTGACTATAAATACATGGGTCCATTTCTAGATTCTCAATTCTGTTTCCTTAATATCTGTGCCTGACATTGCACTAGTATTGTACTGTTTTGGTTACTAACACTGTGCAGTAGTTTTGAGGTCTGGGAATGCTATACTTTCCACTTCATTTTTGTTTTTCAGAAGTGCTTTGCTTATCTGAGGTCTCTTTCCTCTCCAAATAAACTTGACAATTTCCTTTCAATATCCTTGAAAAATAAAGTTGGTATCTCTATTGGAATTGCATTGAATATGTAGATTGATGGTGGTAAGATTGTAATTTTCTCAACAGGGAGTTTTCTCATGCACGAAGAGGGCACAAATTTTTCCACTTTTTCATATCTTTTATTGTGTCTCACAGAAATGTTCAGTAGTCTTCTCTGAATAGATCTTTCATGTCTCTAGTTAGGTTCACTCTCAAGTATCTCAATTTGTGGTTGGCTATTATAAATGGTATTTCTTTCTTGCTTTCCTTCTCTGAGTTCTCTTATTTGCTGTAGAGGAATCCCACTGATTTTTTTTTTTTATATTGATCTTATATCCCACAACTCTACTAAGTTGATCTACTGGCTCTAATTGTTTTTTGTTAGCCATTCAGGTTTTCTGTGTACACTAACCTATCATTATCATATAGTGATAGCTTAGCCATCTCTTTGCCAATCTGGATATCTTTTATTTCCTTCTCATGCTGCAGTGCCCTAGCAAGCACTTTCAATACAATATTGAATAGAAGTGGTGGTCTCTGTTTGCAAAGAAAATTCTTTTAGACTTTATCTATTGACAGTTATACTGGCTCTAGGTTTTCCATACATCTTTTTGATTATGCTGAGGAAATGCCTTTCTATTTCAATGTTACTGAATGTCTTAATCAGGAAGGTGTGTTGTAATTTGTCAAATGCCTTTGCTGCACCAACTACATTGGTTCTTGTTATTTGCTTTGTTAATATGGTGAATTCTGTTGATTGTTTCTCTTATGTTGAACCATCCTTGTATACATGTTATGAACCCCACTTAGTCATGATGAATTATATTTTTCTCATGCTTTT